CTTTCCATCTGCAAAATGACAATAAGCCTTCCTCCAAACTACAACTAAAATATACTTCTCCAATATAGGTTTTATCATAATATATATGCTTTGTGAATATGTAACACACAGCTGGACATATACCAAAATGCAGAGAACCAATGTGCCCAACAACTTACTGTTTGCTTTTTTTTTTTCTCTTACGGGGAACACAACCATTATACACTTTTCTGGCCACATCAACATTAGAAATCAAGGATGTAAAACCAACTTTTGGTAAAACGGTGATTACCATTTTGGGTTTTTTTTTTTTGCTTACTCGTGGCATTTTCATTGATGTTTTCACTGTACCGAATCAAGAATGATTAAATGCGTGAAATGTAAAAAAGCATTGTAATATCTGTAATGTCTGACAGCATTCCACAGGGAACTGTAGATAAAGACTGACCAATGGCATTACAAAAAGAACATTTCTAGAGCACAATGGATAATTCATAAGCCCATACAGACATAATATGTTAGGTAATGAATATTTTTACAAAAATATTTCACTGTCTAGCTTTACTGTATCAAATATGTCACAAAGTTAAGGCTAAAATCTCTACTACTGTGGATAGCAGCAAACGCCTCTCTCATCAAACAGTGACAGTTGATGCCTATACTGGACCATCAAAGCTCCTGAGTTTTACATGATATCGTCCATCACTGAAATAACACAATTGAAAGCTTCCTGAGCTACCGACCATACAATGCCGAAAATACTGCATTCACAATAATGAGAAAGTGGACTCTCTGGACTTGATTTAAATTAAAAAATTCCACCCAGACCTCCTGTAAGCCTCATTTTACCCAAAAGGTGGATCTAGAAGGATTCCAATTAAAGGATTATCTGCAGAAATGACCCATCCTTTTAGACTGCTTTCACACTGCTCTGTTGCAAAAATGCTGTAAAAACACGTGGGTTTTGCTGCATTTCCAGTGCATTGTGAACCTGTGAGAAACAGAACGTGACTCAAAATGTAGCCATAGGTGTGTTTTTTGTGTATTTGATATGTTTTCCATTCACTTCGATGTGGGGGGGTGAGTATATTTTTGGTGCAGTTTTTTTAACTGCATAAACATGTGCCAAAAAATGCAGCAAGCAAGACTTTTAAAAACACAGCTAGCCTGTGCCTCACTGCTGTGAAGAGCTCCAAAGGATTTAAATGGTCAAGCATTTTTCTTCCACTTTTGTCAAAAACGGATCAAGGTGAAAGCAGCACACAACAGCTTGAATCAGAAATGTATCAATTCTGAAGGTTAACTTAAAATCTCCAGATTACAATGGATACAAACTCTTGGGTAGACTGCATAATAACACAATGATTTGTTAATGCAGGTATAGAAATTCTTGCAATGAAGACAGCACCTTCAGTTTGTAAACAATGTTTCCAAGAATCCTCTCTTCTCCTGCTTATGTAAATTGGGTGACTGCATCTCCTGAGCCTGTAGAGAATCTGATGTAAAAATGATAAGTAGCCCATCTCACTTGGCATGTCTGTCCTTAGTCCAGAGTGTTACAACATTTGGACTGATCAGGAGATTACAGGTAAGGCAAAAACCCATTTACCACTCAATTCTAAAAGATCTGAGCAAGAGCACACAACACTCATCATATCTCAATCACTGCAGCATAGGTGCAGATAAGGTTCAAGTTTACTAACATTTCTGCAAAGTTTGAAGCCGACTTGATCAGGACTGGTTTTGTCCTCTCACCAAATCAAAAGTTTCACTTTTAAGTTAGCAGTTTATTCTGGGATAGAGCAGGATAACATTGTTAAAAATCAAGCCTGTATGGAGAGAAAATCAAAGGCTACCTAACGGTCACTCTTCTGAAAACAATTTCTTGTAAGTGTCTCAATTCAATACTTTGGATCACTGTGGAAGAAAGCGAGCAGCAAGTAAAGACAGGTCTGCATATTGTTCTGGGTCAGTTAGGGCTCGTTCACACTTGACTGTTTTTCCAACTCTTGCCAAACGCCCCTATAGCGTTTGACAAGCGTTGGTCCAGCGTTTGCGGAGCGTTTTTAACGCTCCGCAAATGTGGCATGTGCGGTTTGCCGGCGGTTGCTGACGTTTGTCAAGTGTTAAAAAGACCCCACAAACGCCTATAATGAAGTTTGAATGGTGTTAATGCTCCGCAAACGCCACACAACCGTGTTGCAACCGCACCGCAAAGCGCCGGGTGCTTGTGGAGCAGCACCATAGACTTGAATAGGAGGCTTCAACTCCTCCTGACTCGGACCAGAGGCGTCCGTTTTGCCGCAACACGATGCCAACGCTCTCATTTGAACAGCACCATGTGCTGCAATGTGCAGGATTTTCCCAGGCGTTTGGGAAACTGTAAAAAACGCTTCCAAATGCCTGTCTGCCGCTTGCTAACAAGGCTAGTGTGAACGTAGCCTAACAGAGACACTGTCACTTTGTCCATTTAGGGAGATACAGTGCTCAGCCACAGCCCAACACCCTATGTAAGTAAATGTAGACAGCAATGTTCACACACCTCTACCCTACACTGCTGGAGCCTTTGCCAAAGGGTTTCTGAGTAAGGAGGAGCATGTGACGATCAATCTTCAAGCCCAAACCCTTACACCATGACATAATCTCCCTGCAGAAGCTCTGGAACATGGTTGGATAAGTACATCTGCCTGGACAACATCACTTTGCCCTAAATGTCTCTTTAAAGCATGATTCCAACAGCCAAGCAAGCTGCAAGTTTCAGCAACAGCCACCTAGGTATTACATACAGTAAGAACCCATCTACACATCTGCCGTGTAGTAAGGTGTATTGCATGTTGAGTTGCCATTCATTTTGAAGGAAATTAATTCATAAGCATTATTCTATTTACTTGAGGTATCTTTGACCCACCTTAACTTTCCTGACAAAACCTCATCTATGGTCTTATAATAAACATAACAATGAACCACCAATTACCCCCCCCCCCCCCCCCCTTTTTTAAGTGTATTGCAACAGTTTATTTCCTTCAGTGATGAAGACATGACCAAAGCAAATACTTTGTTCTTCTGTACCATGTTATCCTCCACACTTTTCTTACACTAGCTTTTATTTTCTATTTGTAAAAAACACAAACTGAACATTTTTAGAATATGCTGATTAAACGTTTTAAACCCCTGACTAAAGCATGGCTCTAGTTCAGTTTCATACATTTTTGAAGATGGACTTCAATGTAGACATTTTATGGCCTATGCAGCCGGGCGCTGAGGCTGGGAGTCATGCTGCAGGTGAATCATGAGCTTAGACACTGAACATTCTGCTTCACTACTCAAGTGTGTGGAGAAAAGAAGGGTTTGTTTTTTTACTAAAGAGGTTGTTCAATTTGTGACGTGTATGACTGTGATAAAGGTGAACATTCACTTTGAATACCCAATCTTCTGTGAAAGAAATGGAGAAAGGGATATGCTAAGATTTTTGCTAGCACACGATCGGTTGATTGAAGTGAACACAGCTTCATCGTATCTATTAGGCTCAGCGAACACTTTGCTAAGTAAACAGTCTATTCCTTTTGTTAACCAATCCAAGGGCTTCACAAAATAAAAATCTTACTGTAAAAATAATAAAATGAATGGACAAATGTATAACCTTCAATTAATACTTATTTTCTTTTAAGCAACACTGGAAGGTCTGTCTCGAGCCAAACTCCAAATCATAAACATGGATCTTCAATTGTCAGATAAATGAGTGGGGAACCAAGATTTCTGCTGATACATCCAGAGTCGATAGAGTCCACTGTTGTTTGCAGTGCTCTGGTGAATTGGCATCAACAAACCACTCACCTGCTAGTTAATGTAAGGAGCCAAGAGATGCCAGCCTCCAATGCCATGCTTGTTTAGAGGTGTGGTAGCTGCCATTGGAAGAGCAACTTGGCACCCACAACTGGAAGAGAAAAGCTTAAGAGCCCCCCCACCTTTAGATCTTCTGTTAAAAATACACATTCCATTATAGTAAATAAAGATGTGTGGGAAATGTACTGAATAGTAAAGTTAGCAAAAGCTGTTCAAATCAAAGGCAGCTAATGCTTTCTTAGAAATGTAGCTCTTTAAATTTAATACACACCTGGGGGACTTTCTCCACAAGTCACAATCACTCTGTAAACCTCAAAAACACAAAAAAAAAATGAACAGATATACATAAGCTGAAGTGGTGTAAAATAAAATAGGCTTTAGCATGCTTTTTTCTTTGGAATGCTGCAGGTATATTACAAAAATGGTTTTAACAGACTGGACGTAACACCGAAGACAAAAAAAAGAAAAAAAAGAAAAAAAATCGAAATGAAAAAAAAAAAAAAATGTCAGGTAGAACCTAAACACGGGAACTTTTTAATCACTCTAGTAGCCCAACATTACACCTTCTTGCTGGTAGATCTGCAGCAAACTGAAGTCACCTTGCTGCAATCAGCCAGCAACAGGTTAAGGTCAGGCAACAAAGCAATTAAACATTACCCTATTGGTTTATCTGAATTTGAAATGTGCACTGTAAGAGGTTCTTCTAACAAAAATGACATGGAATTTGCATTTTGATTTCTATAGAATGTAATAAGTAAGAAGATTAAGGGGCGGGGGGTCACCCTCACAAATATATCGGACAACAGATAAAACAATGTATGACAGGATACAAGAGGTTGGTGTGTGGTTGTTTTTTCTTGCCAAAGATCATTTTGTATAAATCAGGTGCATCATAAATTTGAAATCATATCACTAACCCTTGCAATGAAGTCAAGAAAACTGACAGACTTAAGGGTTACAAATTCTCTTACAACCAAAGTTCCCCTCGTGCCATCCCAGTGCCTCCCACCCACCCTACCCAGCCCAAAACACATTAACACATAACTTAGCAATGAACACACTTGATACAAGTGATCTATATGCAGAAGCTCCGGCAAGTTAACCAAACAGAACCATAGCTGCCATAAAAACTACAACCATTCTCCTGCTCTCCAAAAGCCAGAGAACAGCTAGCACAATTAACAGTCAAATCTCAAGTCTATAGCTTCATCTAAGCTTTTGTCATCATGAGGACTGGCAGCTAAAAATGTTGCTACGGGAGATCCCGCAACATTAATGACACTTGCGCTTGTGCTGGCATTCCGCACTGCAATGCTTGTCACATTAATGCCCAAAGTAAGCCGGGTCTGCTCTAAAGCCTTCTCTGGCACTGCAAACGCCTCTAACTTCTTCTCTCTCGTTTGCCATGTAAGAGTTTTGGCAGCCACGGCAAATACAGTCAAGACAAGCCTTGCGATTTGAGTAGCAAGGACAGCGCTGGCCTCGGCATGTTAGAACACTTGGATTTTGAGTAGCACGTCCACATTTACAACCTTTCTTCTCTGGCGGTTTCTTATACACAGTTTTTGTTGGGCTCCCAGGAATCAAATTATTGCTGGGGATCTTCTCCTTAACCTTGTCTTTTGTTTTTAGTAACGGGGGTTTGGTTTTTGGATGCGTTTTCTTATGCATGTGCTCTGGGTTCTTCTTTATGGTTTTATTTGAAAGAAGAATGGTCTTGCTGATTTTAGATGAGCTACCCCCATTTGGGACAGTGACTATGGGCTGCAAAAAGTTCCTGTTTTCCCGAGTCAGTAGAAAAGGAGTCGGGGTACCCAACGCTGGTCCAAGTATGATGCTGGAGATTGGAAGTGGCAGAACCTTTTCGCTGTCGCTTTCTGAGCGTGAACGCTTACGGTTTGTTTTCACCATTTTTAGGGTTGCAGCTGTACAAGACACGCCATGTGATGGAACATGACTGTCAGACAATAAAAAACAGTGTGTGTGAGAGGCTGAGGACAGATATCCAGGAAAGTGCCATTTGATACCGAAGTGTCCAGACCATGCTGTAGGTCACAGTCAGTAACCTCTGCACTGGAAACTGTCTCTAAGCTCTGAAGAACTTCCTCGACGCTAAGTAACAATGGGTCACCACTTTTCAGGTCATCATTATAACTACATATATCAAGTCCAGCAGCACAAAGCTCACTAGTAGAAACTGGGTCACAGACAGTCTCCAAGCTTCCTGATAAATCTTCTGTTTTAATATCAACAGCTGTGCAACAAAGGTCAATGGGGCTAGGACTCTCAGGAGAGGGAATATTTACAGCAAGTTCAGTTTCAGATAATCCATTGCAGTTTGGTAAACCATTAGTAATTGAGCACTTTGTCTCTAGTTCTGGTGTATCTTGAGTGATGTGACAGACATTGGCTTCAGTCTCTATAATCAGTTCTGAATTGGAAGGTAAGGGGGAATGAGAAGGACACAGTGGTGAAGGTGGTTCTGAGGGGTTAGCATGGTCTTCTTCAGGTGCAGGTTCTTCCACAGGTTCTTCAGGAAGAAATGCAGAGATGTCGGCGGAGCACTCCAAAGTATTTAATAAGTCTTGTGCCAGAGGAGTATGAGTGATATACTCACATAGTTTTTTATAGCAGCTCACCAGGATGCCCAACTGCTTGTTCTCCTCAAACTGATCATAGTCCTTACACCAGCTGCAGGAGGGCTTCATCATCATCTTTTTTCCTTTGCACTGCTTGCAAACATAATGCTGGCAAGTAGAATTGATTGGAGCTATAGGATCTTCAAGCAAATTTCCTAGAATAAAAAAAATGTATAATTAGATATTTTTCAGGTGTTAATGTTACTGAGCTTTGGCAAAATAGGAAACACAAGATTCCAAAAGGTTCATTACAATTTTTTACAATTTTTTTACCAATAATGTATAAAATGTATTGTCAAACACTGAAGCTGAGAAAAAAACCATTCTAACCTGCAGAGCAGACTTGTGTGTCACTGCGTAATTTTGCTAATTAAAAAGGTGCTAATATATGGAAAATATAAATCCTGCAGGGTTTGTGTATATGAACATTTGACATTTTTTTAACCGCTTTCCGTCCGCCCTATAGCAGAAATACTGCTACAGGGTGACACAGGTGCAAAAAATCACGTGTATATATGTGATTTTGAATTTAAGGGTAGAGCGCGCGCGCACAAGCCACGCACGCACCCTACCTGCGCCGCCATTTGCAGCCATCAATCACCGGGTCCCAGCCAGTAATTACTCGCTGGCGCCCGGAGATTTCCAAATATCTCTGGCAGGGATGAGGACTGTTTGTTTACTAAAAGTCCTCCCCCCTGTCAGCTCAGGCACACTGCCACGGCCCCCTAGTAAAATACTCCCTGCACACAGTTAACCCTTTGATCGTCCTTCATGTTAACGCCTTCCTGCCCAGTGCCATTATTCCAGCAACAGTGCTTTTTTTTTTTTTTTTTTTAGCACTGATCACTATATTGGTGTCACCGGGTATGTCAGTGACACCAAGTCAGTTCCCCCCGGTGTCAGAATGTCTGCCGCAGTCCCCCGCTCCGCTATAAGTCTCTGATTGCCACCAAAAATAAAAAAATTCCATTATATATACCGCCATTTGTAAACACTAACTTTCACGTAAACCAATTTACACGTATTGGGTTTTTTTTTTTTTAACAAAACACATGTAGCAGAATACATTTTACTGTAAATTTGACAAATTAGATTTTTTCCATTTTTTTTTACTGGACATGTTTAATAGCAAAAAGTCAAAAATATTGTTTTTTTTTTCTCAAAATTGAAATATTTTTTTTTTTTATAGTCTATAAAAAAAAAAAAAAAAACCCACGCACAACCGATCAAATACCACCAAAAGAAAACTCAATTCGTAGGGAAAAAAAAGAATGTAATTTTAATTTGGGTGCAGCGTTGCATGACTGCGTAATTGTCAGTTAAAGTAACGCAGCACCATAACACAAAAAATGGCCTGGTCAGGAAGGGGGGTAAATCCTCAAGAGGGCAAGTGGTTAAAGTCAGTCTGAGTGTATATGCAATACAATTTCAGAAGCAAAAAAGCCATTTCCCAGAATACACTAGGCCTTAGTAACAAGATCAGTGGATTACAGTACGTATGTTCTGCACAGTCTGTAATGCAAAATGGGGACTTGAGTGTACAAAGTAAGCTCCCATCATAAGGGCTTTGACAGGTCAATAAACCCAGAGATACAGGGGCAGTAAACTGGATCCCCTGGAAACATAGTACAACTATCAAACATTATGAAGACAAATGGACATAGTGGGAAGAACATGCCACAAGTCTGTACCCTTGATAAATGTTGATATCCAAGATTTTAAAGAAAATTAAATGTACAGCTGTAATACAAGCTTACATTTTTCACCAGATGAAATAGATAAACAACAGCTTTTCTTAAAATCAGCACTGAACAACAATGGAATACATCAATGCTGGAAAACATTTTTAAAGTGCTAATAATTCCATCACTTTCTCCCCATAGTTCATTCAGCCATTAGCAGAGTTTATCCACAGGCTTTGTAAGCGTATGGATGACTGCACACTCATTGTTGTGTCTGTGAACTGACTAGTGTATCAAGTCAACAGCACTGACCCAGCTCTCTGCAGTCCTGGATCAGAAACAGCCACTCCCACTAGCTGTTGTACAGCAACACAGGAAACGCAACAAATGCAGAACGAGCTGTTAGGATTGTACAATAAAACACCTGATGCATACAATACTGTAGAAACAGGAGGCAACAAAAAAATATATATACATAAACACACAAATAATTATTTGATCCCCTGCAAATTTTGAAAGTTTGCCCACTTACAAAGAAATAAAGGATCTATAAACCTTGTTGGCAAGGACAGAGGTAAGACATTTCTTGTAGTTGGTTACCAGGTTTGCACACATCTCAGGAGGGATTTTGGTCCACTCTTCTTTACAGATCGTCTTCAAATCCTTAAGGTTTCTTGGCTGTCACTTGGCAACTTGAAGTTTCAGCTCCCTCTATAAATTGTATATAGGATTAAGGTCTGGAGACTGGCTAGGCCACTCCATGACCTTAATGTGCTTCTTCTTGAGCCACTCCTTTGTTGCTTTGGCGGTATGTTTTGGGTCATTGTCATGCTGGAAGACCCATCCACCACCCATCTTCAGTGGAAAGAAGGTTTTCATCCAAGATTTTACAATACATGGCTCCGTCCATTGACCCCCTCAATGCAGCAAAGTTGGCCTGTACTATTAGCAGAGAAACATCCTCAAAGCATAATGTCTCCACCTCCGTGCCCGACTGTAGTGATGGTGTTCTTGGGGTCAGTCAGCATTTTTATTCCTTTAAACACGGTGAGTCGAGTTAATGCCAAAGAGCTAAATTTTGGTCTCATCTGACCACAGCACTTTCTCCCAATCCTTCCCTGAATCATTTAGATGTTCATTGGCAAACATCAGATGGGCCTGTTCATGTGCCTTCTTGAGGAGGGGGACCTTGCAGGTGCTGCAGGATTTCAATCCATGGCGGCGTATTGTGTTACCAATAGATTGTTTGGTGACTGTGGTCCCAACTGCCTTGAGATCATTCACAAGCTCCTCCTGTGTAGTTCTGGGCTGATCCCACACTTTTCTTACGATCATCCTTACCCCATGAATTTTTGCATGAAGCTCCAGACCAAGGGCGATTAATGGTTAATTTGTATTTCTTCCAATTGCAAATAATTGCTCCAACAGTTAAGTCTCACCAAACTTCTTGCTGATGGTCTTGTAGCCCATTCCAGCCTTGTGCAGGTCTACACACTTGTCCCTGATGTCCTTTGACAGCTCTTTGGTCTTGCCCATGGTGGTGAGGTTTGAATGGCAGAAAGATTTTGTGGACATTTATACATATAACTAGTTGTCATTAGGAGCACCTTCTTAAAATGATAGGACTAATCTGTGAACCACATAGCCAGTCTGTGGGTGCCAGAATTATTGTTGGTCGGTAAGAGATCATACTTCCTTTTATTGACTGAACTGCAACTCACTTTAAAACAATTGGATCACGTGTTTTTTTCTGGATTTTTGGTTTATAGTCTGTCTTATTTAAAATATACCTATGATAGAAATTATAGACCCTTAATTTCTTTGTAAGTGGGTAAACTCTGCAGGGGATAAAATAATTATTTTCCCCACTGTGTGTGTAATATAATATATATATACATACATACACACACACACACACACTATATTGACAAAAGTATAGGGGCGCCTGCCTTTACACACACATGAACTGTAATGGCATCCCAGTCTTATTCCGTAGGGCTCAGTATTGAGTTGGCCCACCCTTCGCAGCTATAATAGCTCCAACACTACGGCAAGTAGCAATACGATTTTCACCTTAAAGGAATGCATTAAGATAAAAACATTTTAGATTTTGAACCACTGTCACTTTGGTTTTACTTATTGCATGCTTGTTCTGGGCCAGTGAAAGTACAGAAACCAGAGATAACCAGGCAATTAGCATTTTATAAAATGAAGTAATCAATAGTAGGTGCTGTTTCTCTCTCACTACAGATCCCATGACAGGAGGCTTTTAAACAGCAATGACAACCAAGTGTAAAGGTGTAGCTGCTGTTGCAAAAAAAAAAAAAAAATTAAATCAGTTCAATTTGTTAGATGTGTTAGAATGTGACATAGTGGGGAAAAAAGTGCAAACACTCATACATTCAGGAGAAATATAACTAGGCAATTCAAGGCAAAAATATTGCATTGGCTTAGCAACACACTGATGGCTATGCAGCATCAATTTTGGTGCACAGTGCACCACATATTAAGACGATTACTTATAGAAGTGATGTAGAATACTATCTCTACATACTACTACATCCTAGTGATTCTCTCATCAACAGTCTATAACTGAAGAAAAACAGTGTGTCTCTCCAGTTATGCAATAAAAAGGGAATAGTATCTCAACAACCAGCAAGTTTCAAACCAGCAAAAAAAGGAAGTAACTGCCTGGATAACTACCTTATGGTCTAATGTATTACTACTACAAAAAAAAAAAAAATGTATGTATATATGTATATATATATATATATATATATATAATATATATATATATATATATATATATATATATAAATAAAACATTTCAGACTACTCAGCTTAAAAACACCTGAAAACTAATCTGAAACCCTGCCCATAGGTATGGTGCAATACTGCTTACAGAATACGGAGGCCTATTCAGTGAAGCAGTGTGAACAGCAACAATGAAGCAAAATAAACCGCTGCAACCGGCAAACCGCTCATTTTCTGATATCATGCAAGTGAAAGAAGATTCTGGCTGGCAGCATTTGGCATTAGTGGATGAATGATGTTTGTATACATCTCCTTTGGGTGCTCTCTTTCCCATTTGTACTACTGCAGTACGTTATTAGAAACGCCATATAAACTGTAGCAGATATCAAACTAAAGACTATGGATAACCAACTCAGGGACCACTACTAGGGTACACAGGTTAAGGTTTTACAGTCCTGAGGAAACCTAAACGGTTGGTTATATCTAAAGCACTAGAAATGACCAGAGATTTATATGCATTTTATGAACATATTAAATACACAAAACTATTCAATGGAAAACTTTTTTCCTCACATAAACTTCAAGAATCTTACAGAAAAAAAGGTGTTTTTCTATCAGAAAAAAAAAGGTGTTTTTATAAGCGTTCAGACTGACATGCAAAAGAAAAACAACAAAATGTGTATAATTGGGAAAAATTATTTGTGAGCCTCATCTGTGAC